TGTGTGTGTGTGTGTGTGTGTGTGTGTGTGTGTGTGTATGTGTGTGTGTTCATGTGCATATATATACATATATATATATACATATACATATATATATATATATATATATATGGCATTCTATGACTCCATCAGAAAGAATGACACCTTCCCATTTGTTAGGAAATGGAAAGACTTGGAAAAAATTATATTAAGTGGAGCAAGCCATACTTAAAGAAACATAGGTCCCATGGTTTCTTTTATCTGCAATAACTAGTATATGTCTAGGACAAGCAGAAGAGGTCAAAAGCGATGTATGTATGACCATATAACCTGATGCTAAATGAAATGAACCCCAAAATAGGGACACAAGAGGTTTTATCTTTGTTGCTGTTCTTTGTAATGTACCTATAATGTACTACATGATTTTTTTGTTTCTTTGTATGTTCTTCCCCCATGGTACAACCCCTGATGTCACTGTATTTGATTCTGGTGTCCTGTATCTTGTATATACATTTTTCTAATTTGGGGAGGGGAAGGGAAATAGCAAAATGCTGAAACAAGGATACAGGTGGACCCATTGTAACAATGAGATGTACAAGACACTATGTTGATAATGAACTTTGTAGGGGGGGTGCGGAGGGGAGGGAGGAGGTTGGTAGGTGGGAAGGGAAGGGATGGTAGGGGGAAAACAAAAAAACAAAGGAGGGTGTAACAATGCTCAATAGGAAATGTACTCATTACCTTACTCATGTAACTGTAACCCCTCTGTAAAGTATCTTTACAATAACTATAACTATAACTATATATATATAAATTAGTGGAATCATGGAATCTTCCATTCCAAACTACTGCAGAGCCAAGAGTTCATGTGAACAACAGTTATTTGCTTTCATGAATTAGCATGACCATGTAAAAGGAACAATCTAATAAATCCATTGCATTTTATAATCAGTACTTTTAATGGAGATGTATATCCATTTTTTTCTTTAGCCTTCCCCAACTACATTCATACATCCAAATGTATATAAATATGTGTTCATGTAATAAAACTTCCTGATTAAAAAGTATTTCATATTACTTAGCTCTCTTTCATTTCTGTTCTGAGTGATTGTGAGATTTTTACCATGGAATAGTGGTCCTGCCAGTCAGGGAAATGCAGAAATTACCACTATTATGAAGATGAGTAAATATGAGTTTGTATGTAAAACATGGTGCCTGAGGCAGATGGGCTGATGATAGAAGCAGGTCTCCTAACACCCAACCCAAGCATTTTTTAAAGTTTTGTCCTGTGATACCTACTCAGAAATAAAGTGATGACAGGCAAAAGCTTATAGAATTGAAGAAATGGGTTAAGTGGTGAGAGAAACATAGGAGATAAATTAGGCAAGAAGCAAGCAAGGAATAGAGTAAAGGGTATCATTCTAGCTCCTACTAAGTATTTCAGAATCCACTCCTTCCACATGTAGGAGGCTGGTGGAGAGTCAGCACATTCTGATTAACTGATGAAATCCTTATTGCAGTATAAAAGGAAAGCACAGGGCAAGGCAGCAAAGAGGTGCATTGCTAGGGGCTGTTTCTTTAAATCATTGCCCGTTACAAAGTACCCAAGATGCCTTGTAACTAGTATTCTTAGTGTAAGTTGAACCTCTCCATAAAGATTTAGAGATCTACACCTGCCTTTCTACTTCTCCTAAATCCATTGAATATATTCAAGAGTTTATGGAAAGAGTAATCTGAATTTTTAATGACCACAGGAAAATAAAAGTTTATTTCTCACTTTCTCTGCACCCTGAGTTGTAGTTAAAAAAAAAAAGAAAGCAAAGTAACACCTTCTGCATCCTATTACAACTTCCTTCCTCTTGAGGCCATACATTTTTTATTGTTTTATTAGTTCCTTTATTATTTGTTATCATAATTCACTTAATTTGAGGAAAGTAGGCTTGAAACTATGTACTCTATGTTAAAGAAGATGAAAATGGTCAAAGGAATGGAAGGTAAACAATTGAGGAATATAGGGAGACATGGATGTGGATTCTTAATTTGGCCAAATGAAGAAAAAAAATTGAGAATAAAATCAGAAAAGATCTGAAATTGTGAACACATCCATGATGTAATTTTTAGATACAATACAAGGAAGGAGACCAGAGTAGTTGGTTTAGTATCAAGTTCCCATCAAATGAAATGAAGGATCTGATCATCTTTATGCATACAGTTTATTAGTTGCCTAAGTCCATAGCCAATGTAAAGGCCAGTTTTATTCCTCCCTATGAAGTGTTACTAGAATTTTTGTGGCTTTCAGTCTAACTAAGATATAGAAAGGCATATATTCTATATCTTTAATTTTGAAAGAAAAATATATGTAATGCCAGTTATTGACTCTATAGATTGCTAAGAGTAAAAAAAAAATCAGACTTTTAGAGCTAGGTGGATTTCAGATCATCAGGTTTAGAAATCAGATTTCCTGATTCCAGCTCTACTATCTATGTGATGAGATTCATGTGGTAAGGTATGTGTTCTAATAAGGCACAATTATCCTTTTAATTTGCCAAAGAGGCCTAGAATTCTGCTAGATTCATTTGAGTTAAATGTTCCATTGCTAGTTTAAAAGGCAACAGTCTAATAGAATTTGGAAAGATGCTTGGAAAATTTGACTTCATCAAACCATTTTGGAATGCAGAATTTGAGAAGGTAAAGGATTAGCAAGGGGAGAGCAGAATTACCCTGCTATTAGGAAGATCATAAAAGGGGGTAATGAAGACACATAAAATATGAGGAAAGAATTGAAACTCTTCTAAATATTTCCCAGTGCTGTCTTATTTGTGACCTTTCCAGCTGAGTAATATTGAGTCCAAAGACTCAAGGTCATCACTGACTCTCTGGTAGGTCAACGAAGTTTTAAAATATTCTATTATTTTAAATGTGTGTATTTATACAAAATTTACTATAAACACATCAAAAAGTTATATAAGAATCTGCTGAAAGAAAATAAAAACCTTGAAAGCAAGAGTTAATGTTAAAAACTAAACTTAGCTGAGCACTGGTGGCTCACGCCTATAATCCTATCTACTCAGTAGGCTGAGATCTGAGAATCATGGTTCAAAGCCAGCCCGAGTCCATGAGACTCTTATCTCCAATAAACCACTAGAAAACAGGAAGTGGCACCGTGGCTCAAGCGGTAGAGTGCTCAACTTGAGCTGAAGAGCGTGGGGATAGTGCCCAAGCCCAGAGTTCAAGCCCCATGAACAACAACAAAAAAAAACAACTAAACTAAATTTACCAATTATTTGAAATATTTATGAATTGGTTTATCCAACCAAAAACCCTTGGCAAATGTAATAAGACCATCTCATTTTACTAATATTTTTTCATCAAATATAAAGTTTTTATTGCTTATCTAAATACAATACTGAAGTTATTTCATTTAGAACAATTTCTTTTGAAGTTTTAATAATCAGTCAAAATATAGTGTGGGTATGTATGATATATTATATAGGCATGTAGCCATACTTAAATATCATGTATATGTTTATACATACATACATACACATGTATATGTGTGTGCATATATATAGCAAGGAACATATGTATGTACATATATGTATATATATTATGTGTGTGTATGCGTGTGTGTGTGTACATGGCAAGAATTCTCTCCACATCCCCACTAGAGATTTCTGGCCAAGCAATTTCTACCAAAGTATTTACTAAATATAGATTTAATTTAAATTTGTTTTAGTAGATTTCACAATTTAAGATACAATTTGGGGGTTGTTCAGTGACATCAATACCACTTTGGTGTTTTGGGATGCAACAAAATGGTATTTTAAGTTAGTTTAGACATTGTAATTCATTTTTCATATTGATGACCTTGATACAAAGTCTCCCAAACAAAAGCAACAACTAGTAACAGAAGAAATGTAAACAGAACCCAAACTGAATGTTCTATTGCTCCTGTTCTTAAATCAATACAATACTTCAAGCACTTGTATAGACATATTCTTGTATTTAAGGGGAAATAAAAGCAAGAGAAACAGAAACCAAAACTTTGAGATAAACCAAGATGCAAAAGTTTATTGAAAATTAAAATCACACATCCATAAAACAACAGCCTCAATAACAAGAAATCATTGTCCTGGTGACAGAGAATGAAGTGCTGGTGATCTGGTGTGGGAAGATGGGGGAGAGGCAGGATTTTTAAGCCTTTACATTATTATTATAAAGTGTTTTTAAAATGGAAAGAAACAGAGATTCTGTAAACTCTTTGGGTTAGAAATAAAAAGGAAAACAAAAGTCATTTATTTTTTCTATCTATAATTTCTAGTCCAGGGGAATTGATATTACCATGTGTCTGCTTAGAAGTCACTTAATTACAACCTAATTCTCCAGGATAAATGTACTAAACAGTATCATAATCTGGCTGGTTTTATGTTAGGCAAAAGAGATGGCCTAGAGCTCCAATTAAACAAATGAACCATAGATTTGGTGAGAGAACTTTGAACTACTTTGGGGGTCTTTAACAATGGTAAATTAGTATGTAGGGAATTACTAGTGGGTTGGCTTTATCTTTCTATTTACACCACAAAATTAGTTTCCCTGCTTTGGGATCTACACAACAGTTTTGGGCACAGAACTCTAAGGTTTCATATGTAAATAAGACTGCTATATCAGACATTAATATTTGGTAGCAGAGATAGGATTTGACAGCATTAATTAACTTCTACCTATATATGAAGAGAGGATTCTAATAATGCAGGTTCTGTAAAAGAAGAAAAGAATGCCCCCCAAATACTAGCTAGTTATAGTAAATACCACTCTGCCCAGCAGTACATTTGACATCTTAGTTTTCACTACTTGCAGTATTACTGCATGACCAGCATCTAAAGAGTCTGACTGATTCTCAGTCAACTACAATTTATAACAATTAATAGACATTAACTTGTTTTTTCTCCTTTTCAAAAAAAGACATCTTAAGTTTGAGACCTGCTCAAAAGCTTCATTATGAGTTTTAGAAATACAACAGAAAGCAACAGAAGAGGAGTCTTATAAACATTGTAATACCCTTTCCCCACCTGATCCCCTCCCTCCCAGGAAACAACAAAAAGCTCACAAACATACACAACAGTGGTTCCTGTCCAACCAATGCTGGATCTAAGGGTACAAAATCTGCAGCAAGCATACTTTCTTGTAAAGTTTTGAGTCCCTTCAAAAGATTCTTTCTCACTAGTGGCTGTGTGCCTTTGAGCAGTTGGGTCTCTGAGCCAAAATGTCTTCAAGTTCTATTTATGAGAGCTGGGTATAAACACACTCACACACACACACACACACACACACACACACACACACGGAAACATAATGACCTCACACACTCAAATACAGAAATGGGGTTCTATGGGTACACTGACTGGTTTGGGGGGTTGGAATGTCTAAAGAAGATGTCAGATTGTTTCGGAGTTTCTCTCCGGGGCTCCACAAGCTCATTCCTGAAGCAGGCTGAAAGGAGACTGCAGAGAGGAACCAGAGAAAAGAGAAGATGAAGGCTTAGGGCTCCATATATTCACATCAAATGAATATAGAAACATATTCCTCACACCTTCATGATCATAGTGTAGAGAGAAACAAATGCCCAAGAAACTATTTTCGTTCCTTCCTTTTTATCCTCTTTTATGATAGAAATCTTCTCAAGAACCAGAAGAAAAAGAAGTGGGATAAGGCAGTAGTAGTTAACCAGAATCACTGGAGGAAATTTGTTTTGTTTTGTTTTAATTTTACTTCTCCTGATCCCTTCTGAGATCAAGTTATGGCTCTGGTCTATCTGTCTGTCTGTCTGTCTGTCTGTCTGTCTAAATAAGTTCACTAAGGTGAATCATTTGGGGATTATGGAGACAAGGTAAGTGGAGATGCCTAGCACAGGGTTTGGCAAAAGGTTTTCTAGACTCAATTAATTGAAAAAAAAAGGAATGCAGAAACAAGAATAAACCTCCATCTTGTGAAAAATGTCATCTGTCCAATTATTATACCTCATTACTCTTTTGTTTAGTCAAAATATGAAGTATGAAGAAATATGATCTTATCAGTATGGGGGCTGTGTCATCATGTATTTGTAAAGAACTATTAATGAGCATTTTGTATGTGCCCAGATTGAGGTGGATAAATATCTTAATCCCTGCAGTCACAAACTTGGCCTATAAATGCATATATCAAACTCATAAAAGCAACTTTTGCATAATTAAGAAATCAATTATACCATAACTATGTCAGGAACAAGCCCTGTTATTTGGCTAAAGGTTGTGCAACCCTAAGAACTATTTGGGAACTGTTTCCCAGACTGGCTTTTTGAATTGTGTATTTGTTTATTCCTTTCAAGGAACAAGCCGTGTTTACTTGTTTTGCAATTCAATAAACCAGCAAGAATTTGTAGGTTCTTAACAAAATACTCCAGAATACATATTAGAAGGAAAATACATTATTCCCAACTAAAAAACAAAAAAAAAAACTTTCTTAACTTTTTCAGGTACTAACATTGGGGCCTTTTTCTTGTAGCAAGGATTAGCAATATGCACAGATCAAACTAATGCTCTAGCTATGGTCCCAGTATATTGATAGATCACAAGCATTCAAACTTTAAGACCTAGAACCAATATCAGATCAGTGATGAGTTATGCGAATATAGAGAAATAATTGAATTTGAGTTTAGAGTTTTTCTTTATGCCAATTTAGGGATAATAAATCTCAGTCTTGAAAATGTCATAACAGATATGGGAGATTCAAAAATTACATGGTTTAAGCTATGAAAAAACATGCGAATTTTTATGACAACTCTAGGCTGGAATCCAATGAAATTGTCAATGCTTTTATTATTATTATTATCACTACTACTGCTGCTACTATTGTTATTTTTAATCTGCAGAGCTGGCATGTTCAAATATTCTGGAAATGTGGAGAACATCTCCTTCAATTTAGACATAATAGCATTATCAATTTAGATAGTTTGGATATTTGTGTTTTCTTCTGTGTCCTGTATTAATAATGTTGAAAATACTTCTTGCTTGTTCCTTAGCTAAATGAAGCTGAGGAACAAATAACAGCTTTCTTGAAGATAATCATAGCCAAGAGTTCTTTTTTCCCTTTCTTGTACTGGTCCTGGAGGCTTGAATTCAGGGCCTGGGCACTGTCTGAGAGCTTTTGTACCCAAACACTTGAGCCACAGCTCTAATTAGACTTTATATGATAATTTACTAGAGATGAATTTCACAGACTTTTCTGCCTGGGCTGGCTTCAAATTGAGATTCTCAGATCTCAGCCTTCTGAATAAGTAGGCTCACAGGTGTGAACCTGTAAAGATACTAAGAAAATTTTCTGGTAGCAAGAAAGAAACTGCACTACATCAGAGTGTAACTAAGTCATGTTGTTTGAAAACAGAATGGAAGCCAAGAAGGAGGGTAAGCTACACTAAAAATTTTAAATAAAAAATTGAAATAGTACAGGTTGAAACATAAAAGTCAAAGACTGCTAAATAGTTACCAACTAACTTCAGTAGAGCTGTATTAAGAGCCACTATTCCTTGAAAATAGAAAGATAGGAATTTAGAGTAAAAAATGGGTCTAAAATATCCTCTTATTTGATTCTGGCTTCTACAAACATAGCAGCCTATGTTTTTAACCAATGTGGGCATGTTAATGAAAATACTATAATGATTTAATTTATAGCAATTCAGCATGAAATTTGTCTTCCATAAAGTCTACGTTCATGAAGGTAATTGTGAAGAAACTTAAAAAGAAAAAGCATGCACAAATGCACAGCAAGCTGAGAAAAACCAACATGTTGGGAATCTAACAGAAGTGATTAAACTAGAAATACTTAACTGTTGCCATATAGAAAGTATATTCTTTCTCACCAATTTTCCCTCTACTGTGAAAAACTATACAACTGATTTCTTACCATCCTACAATTGGTGATATATTTTGGAAGGGCAATCATAGGCTATTAGGTGTTTCCTACATTGATTTACCCTTTTCCAATCATGACCAAGAAATTCCATTTATATTTTTTCTTTATCTAGTCATTCTTGCTTTTCTGAGAGATCTGCATACATTTTTTTAATTGGGGGAAAAAGCTTAGTTGATGAACAGAACGATGGGGGAATGTATATAGCTGCATGTCAATGTTTGGAGATTCATGTGTATATATAATATTGCAAAGGTGTAATTAGACTAAATATCTATACTCTGCAATGATTTTTCACTCTGTTAGATTTCCATGCACGAGTTATCACAATTGTGAGATGTAAACACAAAACATGCATAGGATTTTTTTAGTTTCTAGAGAACTATGAAGCTAATTCCTCACTATTTATCTCTGCCCATCTATATAAAGGATTGAAAATATATTCCTAAAAATCTTTTGGTTTGTATCACAAGCAGAATTTTTAGAATAATTTTCTTCTCTGCTAGAGTAGTTTTTTTTTTTACAAAATATAGATACATGAAAATTCTTTTAGAGTAATGCAAGCCAATTAGACAACAAATACTGGCTAATTTATGAGGACATTAGGCTATATAGTTCCCTGTATACTCCGTGAACAAGCATCAATAGCATATGCCCAATGAATGATGTTTGTTATTTCTCCCAGATTGTACTCTCAGATTCTAGAGTAATTTATATTAGTTATTTTCAATTGTCTTCACTTATACAATACTAAGAATAAATTCTAGAGCATTCTAACAATTCTAAGAGTTTTATGTGTTTAGAATTGGCCACTAAATTGTAAATTAAGGGAAGGTAAGCATTCCATCTTTCCCAGCTCTCTCAGAAAGTCAATTATTGTAGAAAGTCAAATACTGCAATAATAAACAAGGGAATTATGTCATCAACTATATTTTGTATCTGGATAAGACTGCCTCAATCCCTAAGATAGAAAAATTTCTGTTAAAGGCAGTTGTGATTTTTGTTAGCAGCATGTCACTTAAAATCTCACTTCAGGATTTCTCTTCTTTTAATAACTCTCTATCTCAGAATCTACATATTAGCTTCTGAGGGCATGGACCAAACAAAAGCTGTACATTAAGCAAAGAGAGAAGAGCCATTTATTTATCTACAAAGAATCTTGTGTTTAGTGGCATGGCTCAAATCCCATCCATAAATCAACATGGATTTAAATTTTTTTAATTGGGAAGGGCTATTCAAAGGAGAACATTTCATGACATGTGAACATGATATAATATTCAAGTGTCAGTGTCCATAAATAAAGTCTGATTGTAACAGCCCCTTTCATCATTTTTTACAATGTAATCTACTGTTACTTTTCATTTACACCACATAACTGAGATTATCTGAATGAAAAAGTCTAAAACATTTATTGCCTCTGTTTTACAGAAAAATAGTATTTACCAACCCCTGTGCTACATAGTCAGACTCTTTACTGCCAACTGGAAAAGATCAGAAACAGAATGACAAAACTAATTCAGCACAATATGCTACTGTGCAATTCTCCTGGAGTCATTTTGGCTGAGTTGAGCTTTTCCACAGTGAACCAAAGTTAATCTGGGAGTGTTGCCTAGTTCCATGACATGCAATAACTCTCCTCAGGGAAAACTCTTAGCCGCTTTAGGTCTGTCAGTGCTGCTCCAGGTCTCTGTTGCTTTGATCTTCCTTGTATAATTTTTATAAGAACTAAGTCAATTTTGTACTTGAATATATTAACATACTTTTCCATCGAATACTCCAAAGAATCCATCTGATTGGCTATAGAAATCCTGTCAGCAACTAAGAGTTCTGATTCTCTTCTGCAATACTCTATGTCCTCAAGGACTCACACAATGAAACATTTTGATCAGCTTTATGTACAAAACCATTTATCTCTAAATTGCCAAACTTCCATGCTAAAAGCAAATGGTGAAATTCCTTCCAGCTTTTAAGGGTCTTAAATGTTCAAATAGCTTACCGTCTTTTGAAGAGAGCATGCTTATTAATCATTCCTCTGCTGCTCATGTGCAGTACCTTCACAGGTATGTAGAAATGAACCCTGACTAAGGCAGACACATCCCAGCCTCCTCAATCACATTTGTCTTGTCTTAAAATTTTTGAACAAAGATCCATTTCATTACAGTTTCTATAACTACCTCCCAATAATAGCCAATAACAGCAGAACAGAACCTTTATTTATTGTCCATTTGCCTTTCTTTTGCAAAGTATCATCTCTGCTCAGGCAAGATAGTTTGTTACTTCATTTCTTTCTGCTTAAATGTTAAATGCTAGCCTACACTGTGGCTCAAATTTGTCATCCCAGCTACTTGGGAGGAAGAGATGAAGAGAATTGCAGATCAAGGCCAGACTAGGTGAAAAGTTAGGGGGAACCTAGATCAACAAATATGCCACACAGGACAGTATGCATTTATAACCACAGCTATGCAAATACATAAGTAAGAGGATTGTGGACTCAAGTCAATCCCTATCAAAAACATGAAACACTAACTGAAATAAGTTTAAAAAAAATAAAGGACTGGGGTATGGATCAAATGAAAGCGTGTCTGCTTAGCAAGTGCAAGGCCCGAGTTCAAAACTTGGTATTGTCAATCAGTAGCTGATTTATTCTGTGCTAAGTTTTTACAGTAGTCAGCAAAACTTTTAGCACACATACAGCGTCCTAATTAGACTAACAGTGGTGATTCTTAACCACTAAAGGTAAGTATAAACAAAGCCCTCATTGGCCAATCTCTCATCCTTTCATAAGAGCTATTCTCTCTTGTTAGTCATAAAACAATTAACATCATCAGAGATCCAAGAGCAAAGGATAAACTCAATATGCAAATATGTTATATGCATATGTTAATATGGTTGCAAAATCTCTCCAATGTATATAAAAATGTATTGCTCCAAGACAATCCAGAGTTAGGATATTAAGACTTGGCAAGACAATATGACTTTGACCTTCTGCCTTCAGACATGTTCTCAATGACTATTCCATAGGTTGCAGAATACTTTTCAACAAACCAGGCCAGACTGAGCTACATATCAAAGACCTGCTTCAAACATAATATACATACACTAATAACATGAAGAATTCTTTTCAATAAAGCAAGCAAGTCCTAATGCAGTAAAACCTTCTTTCCCCAGTCTATAGTAGTGTCCCAAAGTAGATTATATACATTCCAGGAGATGTACATGACAGTGTATCCAAATGAGGGAAAGGTTTCTGTTTCTAAATATACACGTTATTATTAGAATTGGCTGTTAGTAAATGTTAGTGCGAGTCTTTGAATCCATTTTATAGTACAGGTGAAATTCTCTATATATAGAATAGTAAGCAGCACTCCTGCTGAATCTATAGTGAACTACTGTCTAGTAACAGCCACTTCTCCACTGCCCATCAACCACCCTCTTGCTTATACAAATAAGAAATCACCCTGTTCATGCCTTCTGAAATGACACAATGACACTCACTGTTTCTGAAGTAAGTGCTGGTGCTGCTGCTGTTGCTGCTGCCTGTAGGTTTCAATTGTGTGCTGAGGAAGATACTGCATGAGCTCCAGGGATTCTTTGATCTTCAACAGCATCTCATAAGTCTCACGGCCTCTCACCTAGGCAAGAGAGCAGAAGGAAGAACTCAGAACTGGTGAAAGTCAGTCAGTCAGTCAGTCCTCAGCATTCATAAATTCTGCCTTTGTAAACTGGCCTGCTTGCACACACATATTTGTGAGATGAAGATCAACATTCCTGACACTTCCGCAGTCATTTAACAGATGTGAACTACAATGAACAGTTGAGTCACCTAAACATGTTCTCAGTTCAGGGTGAGGGGAGAGGTGTTCTGCTTTCTTGTTTCAATACTTAGCTGTGAATATGTGTAGTTTTCACAGTCTTCTAGTACCACATTGTTTGGTGAGAGATTTTGTTGTTTAAAATAGATCCCAAATATAATGCTCAAGTACCCATTCATGTCCCTATGGCCATGCTGTGCCTTATGGAAAAAACTTTTATTAGCTCATCTTCATCTAAGAGTTGTTGGCTGTAACTTCAGTGTTAAATGAATCAACAGGAGATAGTGTAGGTGTCTTTTTAAAGAAAAATAGGTTACAGAGTGATACAGTGATTGGTGGGAGAAATATGGGAATGGGAGACTCACAGGAACCTAATCCTATGTTTATCCCAGGAGCAATGACTCATTCCTTATGCAACTGTGTAAGACATAACTACAATGAAAAAGGACCATCAAGTGTAACTATTTCTGAAAGGACAAAAGTTTTCAGTATGAAAATAAAAGTCTTCAAACATGCTTGCTTTTAAAGAGAGTCTCCTGGAAGCTTTCAAAAGAAAAGATAAGGGCCAGGCTTGAAATGGGGCAAGCAGTATTCAGGAAATTAGGTAGGCCCTGGGAGGGAGTACACATTTCAATTTTGGACTCCAGACACCTTTACCGACCTTACTCAATCCCTGCCCTAAGCACAAGAGACAAAAAACTGCCAGAAACAAAAAAAAAATGTTGACTTACTTTTTCTTGTGTTAGGTGAACAAGCCTTAGAAAGGAATGTTACTCCACTCATCCCAGACCTGGACTCCCTTCTCTGAGATCTTTTGGTTTCTAACATTATTCCTTCTGGTGTGAGTGCTTTGCTCTAGTGAGGCATTGATTTCATGATATTATAAGGCTCTGTGTCCTTAGCCAAAAGCAAACAAGTTCTTTGATGGTAAGAATTGGGTCCCCCTGTCGCTAATTTGTATGAGTCCAGGTTCTCTGTCACTCAACAAGAGCATACTAAAAACTTACAGGTTCCCACCCCCACCTTTTACTTTGTTGGCCTAAGTTTTCACTAATCTTTTTTTTTAATTTTACATTTATTTATTTATTTACAGTGAAAATACTGTACAGAGGGGTTACAATTACATGGGCAAGATAATGAGTACATTTCTTATCAAGCATTGTAGCCTCCTCCTTTGTTTCCCCTTCTCATCCAGTTTTCACTAATCTTAATATGTAACTCGTTACAAGTAATTCCTTCATCAGCACTGAAATCTGGCTAAAATTTCACATATCTCTCATCCCATTTTATCATTCAACAACATATACTAGTCTTTCAGAGTATGAGGATATCGGAATAATAATGTTTTACTTAGAGGTCACAAGTCAGTTCCTCACATGTGCCCTGAAAAACAAGAAACTGAGAAATGAGCTGATTGGATATCTGACTGACAGGTAGACAGGCAACTTATTTCCCTAAAGGCCAGGGTCCAAGGAAGGAGAGGAGGGGGCGTGGCACGCTCAACACTGTTGAGTTGCTTTAGGTCCAGTCCACGTAGAGAGGTAGCCCAGTCATTTTCCCTAGGCCTGCCTACCAGTGTCTCCATTCAGTTTAGATGGCATTAGGGCTAAAATGGTCACCCAAATTTTGCCACTCTCAATGGTAATGACCTCAGGAAATAAGGATTCAATAAACTGCAACCATAATCTAATAATAATGTCCTTATTAGTGACCCAGAGAGGCAATAACTGTCATTGTAGGTATAAGTGATATCCTTACATAGTAAGTCTTACATTATATTCCTCTCACTATTCACATATGAATGATGATTCTGCCTTGTTTAGCCTAAAAGAAAACAAAATTCCCAACTCACAGAAATGATTTATGACTAAGGTGGCTGAAGTGTTCCTTACCTGGGGTTGATGATTATGCAACACTGTCTACTTGTATCAAGTTATAATACTATACCCCCATAATAAAATATCCCAGTAGAAATAAAGTACAAACAGAAAGCATAGAACTCTCTAAAATTGGTAAGTTATTAAACAATTTGTGACAAACTTAGGATGGTCATGACATGTAGGATAATCTCATTATTCACAAATAAATGAGCAAATTAATTTTAAATATGTGTGTAAAAATGTTCTACTAGCAGGGCTAGTCTTGATTGGGTACAAAAGTGAGTAGAAGAACTAAAACTAGCTGTGGACAAAAGAATAACTGCATGATTCTTTTTTTAAGGAAAAAAGTTGTCTTTTCTATACTTAGTTTTACTGTTCCTTTCCATCATCATAAATTGAATGTATATTTCTGTCTTCATATTTTGAAATCTTAAATCCCAATCAACAAGGTGATATTCAGAAACAGGACTTTTTGCAGGTTGTATAGGTCATGAAAGAGGATCCTTCTAGAATAGGATTTACATCTTTCAGAAAGAAATGCTAGAAAACACTTGGGCTTTCAATCCCTAAAATTTAGATACAAGGCAAAGACAGTCGTGTGCCTCTGAAAGTGGGCCCTCACCAGAACTGAACAGGTGGCGCTCTGACCTGGGACTTACTTTTTACAGGATTGTGAGACCTAAATTGCTTTTGGTTCTCAGATATCTCATATAGTTCCTTTGTTGTTACAGCTTTAACTGACTGCAATTGTTTCTTTCCTATTGCTGTAGATAACTGCATGTTTCTTCTTAGGGAAAGCTCATTCATAGGAGGTTAAGTGAAGCAATGATGAACGTACAAAGGATACTCACTGGTAAGTATAGAAGCTCATCATCTGGGGATCTTCGTTTCTTGATAGATGTCATCTGGATGCCATGTGTGTTCTGACGAAAAGCTAGTAGAGAAAATTAATTCAACTTTCACTCTGGGAATGTGTCTGAAGCAAGAGTACATATTACACAAATTGGGCTATTAAACATTAATATTTAATAACATATTCTAAACAGACTCAGCAGCAGCAAGGCTTATGAGATACAGAATTCTAGTCCCAAGCATCCATTTAATTGATGATAACTGCTTTTTCATTAAATTTAATATGAGCATTATAGGAAAGGTTGGAAGCAATAAGAAGAAAATTTAGGGTTCTGAGAAATGTCCTTTTGTTTTAGTAATGCTGCAGGAAAACTTGTGTCATGCTTGTGTCTCTGAAGAACTTTTAAGAAAAGGAAGAAAATGCAGTTGTGGATTATAAGTACATGCCTATAATCTCAGCTATTTATTTGGGAGGTAGAAATAGGAGGATTGCAGTTCAGGCCAGCCTGGGCAAGGTTTAGCAAAACTATTATTCCAATGCCTCCTCCCACCTCTGGTAGTGAAGGAACTTAACCCAGGGCTTCATTCTTTTTTCATGCGAAGCTGGCTCTTTTGCATTTGAGCCATGCCTCTAGTAATTTTTGTTTAATTGGAGACACAGTCTTGAGGACTTTTCTGCCAAGACTGGCTTCAAACTATAATCCTCCAGGTCTCAGTCATCTGAGTATCTACATATCTAGGATTGCAGTGATCAGCACCTAGCTGTAAGACTCTGTCTTTTAAACAAGCTTAGTGTCGCTGTTCACATCTACAATTCCACTTACTTGGGAAACAGAGGTAGGAGCAATACAGTCTGAGGCTAGCCTGGACCAAAGTGCTAGACTTTATTTGAAAAAAAAAAAATCCAACTAAAATGAAAAGGTTTGGGGTATGGCTCCAATGGTAGAATGCAAATGGTAGCTTTGAATTTTTTATTTTATTTTCTAGATCATTCCTCTCTTATAGAGGAAAGTGTATGCTATAGAGACTGGGTTGGTAATGATAAAAATAAAAGGCAGGAAGAGGTTCCTCAAATTCCATTTTTTCCTAAATTAGAAATCACACCCATTCAGGATCCACGGTACAAAGACGATCCTGCTACAAAAATTGAGCCAATGATGCTCATGCTACTGGTGTAGAACTCATGTTCTGAGTAGCCACGCACTAAAAAGAAATCCTAAGCAATGCCTATTGGCTTTGTAAAGCTGGGGTCACACCTGGAATTCGCCACAGTGCCTCCTTTAATGCTTACCATTCAACCTAGTCAGCTACTAGTCAACCTGCTAAGCGCAGCATTCTCCTCCTGGAGCCAGTGGTATCTCCTATTTAGTTTCTGTAGCCCTCGCTCTCTGGAGAAGACTCACCCCGGCCCTATTTGGTCACTACATCTACTTACGGCGCTTCGTACCATCACCATTCTTTGTACTGTCTGAAACTTGCTGCTTGCGGATGCTGTCTTCATCCGCCTTCCTGTCTCTTCCAGGACAAGCGCAGATCCGGGCCTCAAAGCAACGGCGGCCCAGGACTTGCCCACTAAAGAATGAGAGAATCGGGGAAGGAAAAGATTAAAATCACAGGATTTTTGAAGGCCCTTCAGAGTTTTCCCACTTTTATTGTTGCTGCTGTAGGCCATTACCAACACCCTTTCAGCATGGCTGCCCTGAGTAAGGACCTTCAAAACCTGGCAGCACACAAAAGCACTTCTCTGCCACAAGCAATATTGGTACAACATTCCATTTGTTCTGCAAAGAATCTCCAAGCCATTAGCTGAGCAGCTGTATTTAGCTACATATTTTGAAGGAAACTTGAGTTAAGCCAGGGGATGTCTCCAATAAAATCCCCTTAGGCAGCCCAGACTCACTCAAAGAAACTGCTAAATGCCTTGGGGCCACATGAAAACAAACACTGTCTGATCAGAAACAATTCCAGTCAAATGTCAAGAATTCAGGTATGAAGAGACTTTTACACCTTTCCAGGTTTTCTTGCTTGCTTTTTTTTTCTTTGTCTACTTTTACCCACCCTTTTCTGTCTCCACTTCTTAGATCTTTTATGTAAGTGTTTACAGCAAGGATTTAAAGCACAAAGAACAGAATTAAGGGCAGTTTTCTCTTGTGCCATGCAAAGTTAGAGATAAGGATAGGAGAGACACCAGTTCTTGTGCCCTGTGTTTGTGATTATTGGCAGTGAGCTCTCCACTGAACACTTACTCTCTGGTTTCCAGAGTAACGATGATTAAAATTGGACGACGGTTCATCCCTCCGACACAGCTGCTGTTGCACATGAAATTATACAGGACAGTGGTAAATTCCGTGCCAACCTGAGTACAGAAGAGAACACTGTGTTAGTGATGGTTTGAGTTGAGGTTCTGCCCTCTTAGTTCTTTCCTCTGTTGAGAGACCTCCACTTCTAATGGGATGTTCTCATGACACACTCTGAAATTCCACTGTGGATCCCTTTGCCTTGCCTTCTGGAAAACTTGAGATAGCCTTAACCAGAGCTTAGATCTTTGACCCTGTTCTTTAGTAGGCTGAACTACATCATCCAGTTCAAATAAACTCTATTGCCTTGCTCAAGAGCACTGAAAATGGAGAGCTAAACAAAGTTTCTAAAAATAGCAACATCACCTCAAGGATAGTGGATATTTTCCCTATGTAGATAAAACAGGACATTGATTTGAATATACATTCCCACAAATGGCTAAAAAGTCCTTAGAATTAAAGCATCTGATGTGGTTATTTATGGGTAAATCAACGGAAGCCCAGTGAGGGAAAGTCACATGCTAAAGATCCACACAGCTACTCAAAACCTGGGTCTTATTACTCCTGTGTACATTCCACCTCACTACTTGGCTTTCCACAGCAGATGTACACATTTGCCATGCTGTTTGGTGAAACTTGAGCTCAGAGATGTCTGGTAAACTCTCCCATTTACAGACCAGTCCATCACCCATTCAACTGTTAGCTGGATTAAGTATGCTGTGTATAAATCTTATTTCCAGAGTTATGAGGACAAAGAGTTATATTACCAATTAATTCACTATACAAACACATTTAGATGATTTTAAGAGGAGGCATGTGAAAAGCTGTTTACAACTCATATATTTAATGACAAGGACTAACCCAGTGATAAACACTGGGGATATCCCAGTCACCAAAATGAATCCTATCTCAAGCCTAACAATCAGTTATTCTGTATTTCTTATTTTTACTTATTTATTTATTTTACCTGAGGTGGCTCATAAGGTACCAGTACACTCTGCCTTCCTGTGATAGGGTCTTCTACATATTGGGCGTGGCTGTTCCCTTCTACTCGGATCAAATGACTAGGAGGAGCCATCTGTCCTGCAGAGCAGAAAGAGAAAAAATGGTTCATTTATTTACTCGCAGGATAAAACCAAATGAAGTTCCATAGACAGAGTATACTGTGGACAAGGAAATAATCCACATAAAGGAGTATATATATAATAATCCACATAAAGATGCATCTTTGAAAAAAGGAACAGATCTCATACAGGATACAGGAAGAGAGCAGAACCTTTTTAGTAATAACTAATGCAATGCAAAACTTTATTGAAGACAGTAGTCCTAATCTATGCTTTGGAGTGTAAGGTTAACCATTTAAATTTTTATAGAACTCATGATCACACCTCTGACTTCATCATGGAAAACATTCTGCAAACTTCCCTGGAAAATCGAAGGAGTTAGCAAGTTAATTTAAAAAATATCAATTCAAGAAGCAATGCTACCCTCAAATTTAGCAAAATACTAAATAAGCAGCAGAAGAGTATAAAATCAGGACTTTCGCCTTAATTATTCTTTTGTCCTTTTCCATCTTTAGATATTTCTTTTGTGGGGGTGTTGGGGAGGTAGAGGAGAGATCATAGGGCTTGAACTCTGTGCCTGGGTACTGTCCCTCAGCTCTTCAGCTCAAGGCTAGCACTCTACCACTTTGAGCCACAGCACCACTTCTGGTTTTCTGGTGGTTAATTGGAGATAAGAGTCTCAGGGACTTTCCTGCTGGGGCTGGCTTTGAACCACAATCCTCAGATCTCAGCCTCCTGAGTAACTAGGATTACTCATGTGAGCCACCAGCGCCCAGCACTCCATCTTTAGATATAAAGGTATCAATAATTTCTGGTTAACTATGCTAAAAGAGTTCCAGGTAGGGGACAAGAAAATGGGAAGCATCATCTATTTTTATAAAAACCAAATAACTATTATGTAACATAAATGAGAAAACATTTAAAAATGAAGCATAAACTGAGGTAAATGGCTAATGATGCCTATCTACATGGAATATTCTTTTAAACATTTTTAAAAATTATTAAGTAGTTGTACAAATGGTTCAAATTCCATGAGTCAGGTTATGACTTTATGGTATATTTTTAAGTAAAAAGCAGGTCACTAGGGTACAGACAATGCATACATGTAGACAGGAACTAGAAATCAGTGAAAAACCTTCTTGTGCTAAGGAGAATTGGGGCTTTATTTCTTTCTTGTAAATATCTGTTCACTTTTTTTTTTCTTTTCTTTTCTTTTTTGTGGGTCATGGGTCTTGAACTCTGGGCCTGGGCAATGTCCTTCAGCTCTTCAACTCAAGGTGAGCACTCTACCACTTGAGCCACAGTGCCACTTCTGTCTTTTTTTTTTTCTGCTTATGTGGTACTGAGGAATTGAACCTGGGGCCTCATGCATTCAAGGCAAGCACGCTACCACTGAGCCACCTTCCCAGCCCATATTTGTTCACTTTTGTCATTAATTGTCTCTATAATCTATTACATGCTCTATATTTATACACAGTACCTATCTAGCAATATTTACATTTATAATTTTCAGTGATGATTCTTCATGCTTTCTCCTGTCTAATTTTCTGGTACTTTCTATTCTGTACCTTTCATGAAACTACAATTTGATGTATAATAGCACTCTTGCATACAGTAACCTGTTCTGCAAAGTTATTGGGGCTGAGGCTTAGAGGACTGGACATAGCTCAAACACAAGATCTGAGATTAAAAGCAACTTTCCAGACATTTCTCTAAATCTTAGCTCTTCATTAAACTGCCTAGGTTCTAGGTCTTCTATGTACTCTTATTTGTATTTTTCATTTCTTTTTTTCTTCCCACTTCCTTCTTTCATTTTTTCTATTATTTCTTTCTATTTATATCCCTTCTCCTTTTCCTTTAGCTCTAAACACACTTACAAAATTACTCCAGGTAAAGTAATCAAACTAAAGGATTTCATATTCTTGGCTGGAAAGAATAGTTCCATATTATTATGCTTATGCCTTCTCAACTTAAAACATGAATTAAATACTTGAACCACTGTGAGAGCCACATATGAATGTAACATTATTCTTGGATACCCTATCAGCTAAACTGGCAGACTGAACTGATAATGAGTAGGCAGAAAATCAGAAAATAATGCTCACAGGATCCTGACCTTGAAGGAGCTCAATTGACCAGTTAAACACTCCAATGTCCTTACCCTCATTGAATTCTCGGCTCAGCTCATGGTTGGGGCACCGCTTCACCACCTCAGTGACATGCTCAGCTTTCTTGTAGACAGGCATGGCACGGATAACAGCACCCTGGGGTGGAGGGGTCATCACCTTGATCTGGATGGGGCATGTCTTTGCGATTTGGCAGTATAGCTTCTTCAGCTCTGTGGAATACTGCTTAGAGAAAGGCCCAGGCAAATGGGAAAGAAGGAGAGAGCCAAGGGGAGAGATTGTTACAGGTCAAGACAATGAAAATACCTCTAATTTTTACAATGTTTTACACTTGTTAATCATAGGTGAGTAAACATATGACATCCAGTACTTGTATGAATCAAATTGATACCATAAAATTTTACTTTTCTTCAAGATAGTACAATTATGTCACTATTGGTTGCTATATTGGAAAGCCTGAATTCAGGGCTTTTTCCCTCAAGGTTGGTGCTCTACCACTTGAGTCACAACTGTACTTCCAGCTTTTTTTTATTGCTTGGACATAAAAGTCTCAAGGACTTTGCTGCCTAAGTTGGCTTTGACATCATTAATACTCAGATATCAGCCTCCTGAGTAATTAGATTATAGGTGTGAGCCACCAGTGCCCAGTTTACCTTTTATTTAGGATAATAAAACAGGTCTGAAAGATTTTTTTTTAAAAAATAGCACCACAAGCAACTTTATTGATTACCAGAACTAAATGCAAAACTTCTTTCATACTTTGAGTGATGCTAAACAAACCATGAGGACAGTTTTATGCTTAGAGGATTATAATAAACCTTGTCTCTGTAATACTCCAAAGACATATATAGAGTGCTCAGGTGCTTTTATCAGATGGGGTACACGGAGGAGTGAGGGTCCACAAGACAGACTCTCCTGTCCCATCTAGTGCATTTCTATCCTGAGATCATAGTGACAGAGATGCAAGATCTGAAAGGGGTAACTTGATTCAATATTCCTTTGCCTAAATGGCAAGCACAGCTAGTCATAGCACTAAAGGAGCCACGTGCAGATCTTTTAAACATTCACAGCTAAATGAAGCTTTTTCTCTCCATCCATCCTTCCTTCAGAAAGATGTTGGCTATGGTTGTTTGTTTACAGAAGTGGCAAAATAGGATACACAAGGCATGTGACCTTGAACCAAACATATCACACACACACACACACACACACACACACACCTCCTATGCTGCTTTCTCTCATCACTTCTCTACATTCGAGTTGTAATTTATATTAAACTTTATCATCTGTGCTCTCTCGGTCAATGCCTCTTTTGCTGCATCTCTACGCAGATACTGATATGAAACCACTGGGCCATTGTAGATTCTGGCCAAGAGTGGAGCACCTAGTAACCCAAACAAAGGGTAAACACACTGCAATTTCAAGCATAAGTTGGCAGAGCCATCCTGTCAGGGAAAGACCCAGAGAGCTGGAGTCAGAGGAACAAACAAATTCCGACACAAGACGAACATCCTACAATATACACACAAAAAAAGACCACATTGTTTAAAATGACTGCTTTATCTCTTACTTTTGAAATATGATACTTATGAAAATTATTTATTTTCTTCCCAAGTTTTTCAGTGTAGGAAATTTTCAGTTAAAACTTTCCTACTTCAGGAAGAACATTGCAAAATCAGTCCTGCCTGCCCACAGGCCAAGGATTAAATAAAGTAAAAAGGGGTTTATGTAGCTTGAAGTAAAGGAAGCCTGCCAACAAACCACCACAGAAATAAAATTTGGAAAACACTGAATGAAATGTAGACAAATAGTTTTACTCTTCTGCTTTTAAATCATGACTTCACTAACAAAAACATTGTTTTAGGGAATATTAAGAACTCACTTTAAGGAGAACTCCCAAGAAATGGGCATATGCATTTGTGTTTTACTCAGAAAGAGCATAATATGTGTTTTAATCCTGAACTTCATAAAATGAACCTCAGGAAAAGTAGCTAAAAATCATAAGTCTGTCAGCAAAAATCCAAAGGCAATTAAGGCATTCTTCCAAGTACGTAAAGATGGCTAGGAAGAGAATAAATGTTCTTAGTAGTTTAGTTTCTTACAAGAAGCATTATTTTACAATAATTAATATATTACAAGTCAAATTTCACAGACTAAAGAACGAAAGTGTAACAATAAGTTTTGGTATTGTCAAGGAACTAATCCTTGTGAAAGCTCAGTGATACAGATGAGAAATCAAGTTTCTAAGCTTAAATAATGACCAGTAATAATAGTTTTGTCATTCACTTAGTTCTATTATTAGAAAGTCAGTTTTCACATAACACTGTAAGGAAAGTATTATAGGTCCTCAACATCTTATCTGAAACTCCCGAGGCCAGAAATTTCAGAATCCAGAATGGTTTAGATTTGAGAAAGCGGGGAAAGTTCATATAACACAGATCACAAACACATCTAGTAAACTAGGGTAACACTTCATACTCAAACATTAACACTTCTGTAAAATTCATAAATATACTCAATGGGAAAATCAACTGCATGGCCTCATAGTTTGCAGTTGCAATTCACCAACAAGTGAGTGCAACTACCAACTTCAAAAATCAGCACCAAATTTTTGGCTTTCAGCTTCTAGAACTTCAGAATTGCAGATGGTAGATAATGGGCCCGTATTATTATCCCCATTTTATAGATAAGAAAATTAAAGGACAGGGAAGACTTGCCTGAGGTCAAACCATTCCTCACCTCTCCGTTCTCTTGCAAAAGTGGACTCTTGAATTTTTACAGTTTTCTTATATACAACATTATGGCTCCTTTTTGTTTTTTTCAAGGTGAAGGAAACATGTAGACTGCTCTAGCCCTGTAATGCAGCTCAAAAGTGTTCTATGTCCACAATTTCTTAGTTTAATAATTGTTCATTTAATGATGAGGAGACTAAGCTAGTGATAGAACTGAAAACATCTTGGGGTAGGTGGAAAGTCTGCCTGAGCTGTACTGGCACTGCCTGTTGTACTTCTGATATGGCTCTGGGATGTACTTCTGTATAGCTTTTTAATGTAGATTGTTAAGAACTTGTTCTGACCCTATGTAGCTCTCTCTCTCCCTTTCAGCACCCATGCCTTTCCTCACTACTCCAACTTACCCTCCATGTTATACCCATACAAACTTCTTAAATACAATGGCACATTTATCCCACATGATTTTGTACTATTCTATTTGGGAATAGTCCCATTTTTCCTTTCTTCTGTCCCTTGCGTCAGGACAATTGAGATATTCTTTCTAGCTAGAATGCCTGTGATACTGTACTTTTCTAATTCTTCAATATTAATGATGAGTGTTTCATATTTGACTAAATCAAAATACCTGACCAGAGCCAGGATGTACATGTATTGCTTCTGATTCAACTACCAGGCCTTCTGTTCATTAACTAGAGGGGATGGAGTTGACCAACAGGCCCCATTCCTTACAAAACCAATTCTTTGCTCCTTTATTTGCCTCACTGGTGGCAAATCAGTTCTGTGATGACACTTAATATTTTTTCCAGTACTAAATTCTGGCTCCCTGACCTATATCATGTATTAATAATTCCTTAGGCTTTGCTACATCCTCTTCAATAACATCACCATCATTTCCAATTTTCCAGGCCTCTCTGTAAGATGGCCAAAATGGGAAGCTGACTTGCACCATGATTTTTTAAATATACTGATGATTCATGTCAGCAAAGACTGCAAGTTTGAACACATACAGACTCTCTTTCTCTCTCTGATTTCTAAAGTTGACTTCTAATTTGCTCCCTATCATCGACTTGAGATTTTCTAAAATCCTCATTTATGCTTTTTATTGTATGGGTCTTCAGTTTGCAGAGTTCAGAGTAGCTAGGATCACAGGTGAGCCACTGGTTCTTTTTGTTTGTTTTGTCCTTTTGCCTTTTAACAGATATCCAATTGTTTGCATGCTATTTCATTGGCAACCATTCTCTTGTTGTTTTTGAAAATCATTGGGCCAATTTGTTCAGGTCTATGTCTGGATATTTTCTTCTGTTGACTTATATTTATCTCTATATGTTATCTATATTTATATATGATATATCTAAAGTGATGTCATATCACTTTAATTTTATACTTTAAATCATACTGAGTTCTTCTATTTTGTTCTATTTCAAAATACAATTTTTATAGTATACAATTTTTTCTAGTATATAAAAATGGATTTTTATAATTTAACCGCATAGCCTATGAATTTGGTAATTTCACCTATTATTTCTAGTAGGTTTGTTGTTGTTGTTTTGTTTTTTGGTAGGTGCTTTAGTGTCTTCTACCTAGAAGGGTAAGTATACCCATCATGGCTACCAGGAACCTAGAGAACAATAAACAAAGGCTACAGAGGTCAGAGAATATCTGTCTTCATCATCTTAGGTCTTATAGTCCAGAATAAAGACCCGAGCTTTTCTAGATGTGAGATCAAAGCCATCAGAGAAGTCTGAGCAAGTAGAGGGCGTTATCTCGTTTTTTCTTTTCATTTCTACTTAAACTTATTTTATATTTATTTCATTACTTTTGTTTTACTTATATTTATTTTATTATTTTTCTTTTTATTTCCAATTTAGGAAAATAATTTTTAACTAATGTAAAGAAAAAAATCCACTGATAATTTTTCTTTTAATGGGGTCACTCTAATTATCACATGAAGGATAGACTTCATGGATCAGAGTTGGAAACAGGAACATTCAATCATAAAGATACTGCAGCAATCCATATTAAAACAAAAAACAAAAAACAAATGAGAGAGGGTCTTGAGCCAAAAATGGGAGAAGTGAAAAGCAATTCATTTTCCAAATAAATGTTAGCCAGATTTGCTGATGGATTGGCTGTGGACAAGAGGGAAAGAGAAAAACAAACATATTCACCTAAAGTGGAGAAGAAAAACTGTCATAGTGGTACTGAATTTCCCAGTGGTAATGGCATTTAAACTAGGTCTTCCAGGACAAGTCAGCATTCATCAGCTGGATAATGTATCCAACCAAAGATGAAGAGAAGCCAGAGGTTGGCATAGGCTTTCCATGAAAAGAAAACACCATGAGTGAAACTACAGTTATGCTATCCATGGGAAATACCCTTGTGCTAGGGAATGTGGAGAAGCAGAGCAGACAGTCATGAGGCTAACCTAGGAAAGAATATTCTCAGGAGACTCAGGTTTCAGAAAATTAAACCATAACATAACACACTACC